TGTCCATTATTTTGTATAGCAGTTGACCATATACTTTCTATAGAAATAAACAATTTGGTCAGCTAAGGTTGACAAAACTCTGGATCATTTTTTTTCTCCTCTAAGTCTCAAATAATTCTAACTCCACAAAAAGTCAAGTAGAAAGAAAAAAAATCAAAGGCAAATAAATTTCTATTTAAAACTAAGATATGTGTATATGATATACTTACTAGGGGTAATAGACACCTAGATGTAGGAAATACAATGAGTTTAGACTATGTAAAGTTTGTGGTGATTCCTAAAGGGGGTCCTTGGCAACCCTCTATAGGAGTGATTGGTGACAGGCCCTTTGAAACTATGTGAGCATTTCTACATTTCTGTGTACTCCAGGGCATTTGGTTGAAGGAGGGTCACTTCTTGCCCTTAAAGATCTTAGAGTTTAATATGTTCCCATTTGTTTTGTTTCATGTTTCTGTATCTCCTCATAGATTCCCTTCAATGCTTTCTCATCTACAGGCATGCTGCTTATTTCTTGTGAGGACAGACGCTTCACTGTCTTCAGCGGCTCTGTGTGCTTCTCGGAAAGGCTGGCACTGGCTCAGGCCCTCTGATGCCCTCCCATGGCTACGATTCTTGCAGCTGCTAAAGTGATCAATGATGAATCCCTGTGGGAGTTATGGTCAATACAAAAATTTGTGCATTCCCTCAGTCTCCGTTCTGTTTTTATCCCTGCACATCTTGTAGGCAGGGTAAATGTTTGTGGGTGGGTTGGTGTTCTCCTCCTTCTACTAGGAATCCTGTTTAGTTAGAAAGTTGCCTCTTCAGTCTCCATGATCCCTGCTACTAGGAGTCTCAGCTAGAGTCATCCCCATATTCTCCCAGGGGCCTACCCTGTGCTTGGTCTCTAGCTTGTCTCAGAGGTGTCCCTGCCTATGGTTTCTCTTATCTCTGCAGGCCCTCTGTCCTCCTGCCCCATTCTCCCCAGGTCTGAAATCCATCCTCCTTTCTCTCTGAGCTCCCTCTCCTACCCTGGTCCCTCTTTTCCACTGTCTATGCTATTTGCCCTCTTGAGTGATATTTAAGCATCCTCTCTTGGGTCCTCCTTGTTATATAGCTTCTTTGAGAGTTCTGTGAATTGCAGTATAATTATCCTGTACTACATGGCTAAAATCTGCTTATAAGTGAGTACATATCATGTGTGTCTTTCTGGGTCTGGGTTACCTCACTCAGAATCATTGTTTTTCTAGTTCCATCTATATGCCTGAAAATTTCATGATTTTCATGTTTTTAATAGCTGAGTAGTGTTCCGTTGTGTAAATGTTACACTGTTTCTTTATCCAAAGAATGCCCGGCCCAGCCTGAGACCCATAGGAAAGACCCAGCCCCTGACACTATTAATGATAATCTGCTATGCTTACAGACAGGAGGCTAGCATAACTCCTCTGAGAGGTTCCACCCAGCAGCGGATTGAACAGATATTGAGATTCACAGCTATTGGGAGGAATGCAGAGAGTCTTGTGGAAGAATGTGGGAAGGATAGAAGGACCTGGAGGGGACAAGAGAGCCACAAGAAGAGCAACAGAGTCAACTAACCAGTGCCCAGGGCTTTACAGAGAGTGAAACAGCAGCCAAGGACCATGCATGGTCTGTATCTATTCCTCTTCTACAGATGTAGCCAATGGGCAGCTTGGGCTTCATGTGGATCCTTTAGCAAGGTGAGAGAGGGGCTTTTTTCTGACATGGACTCTGTTGTCTGCTTTTTGATCACTTCCTCCTGGCAGGGCTGCCCTGTCAAGCCACAGGGAAAGAGGATGCACTCAGTCCTGATGTGACTTAATGAGCTGGGGTGGGTTGGTGGGAGGTCCCCTTTTCTGAGGAGTAGAGGTGGAAGGAAGTGAGGGTGGGACCAGAAGTAGACAAGGGGAGCTACAATCAGGTTGTAAAATGAATAAATAAGTTAATTAAAAACAAAGCAAAACAAACATTGTGCAAAGGTCAGTGATGGCATGCAGCTTCATCTATGGTATGTGCCATTATAGGTGATGAAAACAAGAGAGAAAAACTCACCAAATAGTTTTAAGGGCAGAGGGACTGGGAGTGACCAGTTCTAATTCTTTTCCTTGACTAAAAGTTAGAAATGTTCTTGCTCTTGTCTGCAGTTCTTCCTTGCTGAAGGCCAGGAATGCTGGAGAGAGTTCTGGTTCCTGGTTGTTTCTTTTCCTAAGTGAGTAGTTATTATTATTTTTAAAATGATGCACACAAGATATATTATATGAAAGAGGTTTATTGGATGGAGATGGAGAGATGGGGAGAAGGGAGAGAGAGAGAGGTGTGGGATGACCCCCACCCAGACAGAGAGAGGGGCGAGAGCAGGAGAGAGGGAGAGAGCAAGAGCAAGAGAATGAGGGGGAGTGGCAGACTGGTCACTAAGTACCTGGCCCAGATGATGCCACAGCACACAGGGCAGACACTGCTACTGGAAGTTTTCAAGACCCTAAAGGTTCCCAAGGGAAGGCCAGCCTAACTGCCTGCACAATACAACAAGTACCCGTGCCTGGAAACTGAATATAAGATATGGCCAATGCTGAGAGGCAACACAGCGTGCGTGGACCAACTGGACAGAGCACTTCCCCATGCCTCCCCTTAGTTTCTGCCATTATATAAAAAGCTCCAAGATTAGCAGCTTGGTGGTGTTCCATTTCCTGGGTTCAGCTCCAGCTACACAGGAGCTCCGCCTCCTTTCTTTCATTTCAGTTCCCCATAAAGAAGCTTTCCAAAACTCACCGTCTGTAAGCCATTCAGTTCAGTCTTCAGATTCTCTGTATAAAATGTGGAGCTACTGACTCTGAAAAAAAAATTTTTTTTTCTGTGACTGGGAGATACTGGCTGCCTAACTCTTGAGTTAAACCCTTCCTAGGATGAGTCTGCACTGAACTCAAAAGCCCCCACCATCACTCCATTTCATCAGTCACTTAACTGCTTTGCAACATCCTACCAATATAACAAACAGTCAGTGTGCTAGGGAGAGCAGAGCTGATAGTGAGAAGAGAAGGGATCTTAGTCTCTGTTAGAGACGTTTTCCTGGAACAGGAGTGAGCAGATGATGTCACAGTGATATGTGTTTGTTGTCATTGACAGGGTGTCAAATGGACTCATCCTTAAATACTGTGTTACTATTTTTTAACTTAAACATTAGTTTATTGGTGTTTTGCCTGCTGATGTGTACAGCAAAGGACAAAAGAGGTTACTGGATCATCTGAAACTAGGAATAGAGATGTTTGTGAGAGGACATTGTGGGTGCTAGGAATTGAACTTCAGGTCCTGAGCCAGCGTTATTGATCAGTTAGCTCTCTCCAGCCCTCTTAGGCACAATTTTAAAGGTGATAAATTTACAAGTACTCCCCCAATCTCTATTCTTGATTTTCCATAAAAGTGTTCTCAAATGTATTCTCTTGCAGTTATAGACTTGCTTATTTATTCAAACACACACACACATTTAAAATTTTAGAGTAAAATGCCAGTTGGTTGCCAGAGTTGTTAGGAAGGCTTAATGATAGAGTAGATAGATCATCAGGAGACTAACTGAAGACTCCCCTGCAACAAAGAACAGACAGAGGGTATTTCAGTGTGTTTGGGGGGAGGATGAGATCAAGTCACCCAACTCAAGTTTATCTTGGGATGACAAACATGAGGTGTGGGTTAAACAGATGGCAAGGGTTGCGCCTAACAGCTCCTGAGTAGTTTTGGCCAAGGTATGGTTTTGCCCATCATGGTCATGATTCCAGCCCCTCCTGCAAGGCTGTCTGGTAACTTTCCGGAAGGACATGAAGACTCTCCCTTGGAGACAAGTGCCTTCTCTGGCTGGCACCAGGCTCCATCATGTTCTTCCAGCAGGAATTAACTGGGGAAGTTCTAGTTCCTTGGGGACTCCTACTGAATAGTCTGATAACTGAAAGGGGGTGCGCGTGCTTCTCTTCAGACTGTCTTCCTTTGTTCCAGGATGCTTTCAGACCTCCCTAGATGAAGGCAGGTGGCTTACACCGGCTGCCTAGGACAAAAGTCAGCATGGTGTCTTGGCCCTGCTCAGATGAAGCTTAGATCTGAGTTGGTAAACAGTCATTGCTGTAAAATTAGTTATCATAACCAATTAAACTCTGGACGGAAAATGTGGGTCAGGGAAGAAATCATTAAAGGAATGAAACGTTATCCCAGAACTGAGGGCTCGGGGGAGGTGCTCAGGCCAAGGGCTTGGTCTTGGGGAAGGGCCGGACAATCCAGAAAGGAGAAAGAATTTGTTCCTTTCAACGGGTCAAGGGGAGTGAACAGCAGACTAGTTTTAATCAATCCCTGGAGGGCAGACTGCACCACTAAAACCAGTATGGAAGGCAACAAGATAATTCTGATTGGAGCAAAAGAAAAGTTAACTGGAAAATTATACTAATGTTTTAATGAGTGGGGTGAGCGTCCACAGACATGAGGAAACTGGAAAATCAGAAGGTTTAGACAGAATGAATTATCTTAAGATCGTCAAATTCTTCTCTTAGGACATCAGGAGAATTTGATTGTTTTTTTCTTTAGTTCCCTTCTCGGTTTCCTGAAAGCATACCATGAAATCTGTTGCCAAAGTCATTTACAATCAAGTTGTCATGTTTACAGGTCATTGAAAAGCTGGTTTTAGTCTTTAATAGATGAGAAATGATGCCATTGTCTCCTACAAAATAGCTGAGGTTTTACTCCAACCAAATCTGTTTGGAAATGTTAAGCTGGTTACACAGAACTAATGTGCCTCAAGGTGGTCATTCTCTCTGGATTAAAGCCTGGGAACAATTGTGGCTCCTGTTACAAGGAAAATTACAATGGGCCTTTATGGAAAGGGACAAAAATCTCTGTTCCCAGAGGGGGACTGAGCAGCAAGTCCCCCTCTGCATGCCAACACAAAAGCCTGATTGCTTCAGATTGTTTGTTTATGCAAATGGAAGGCAGCACTAATTCTGGGAGTGGGGCTGTGAAGCAAAGCGGTGCCTGTGCTGCTGATTGGCTGGCTTTTGCTCCTGGTAATCAAACTGAAAAACCCTATCACATTCATTCTGAGCATTGCAAACCTTTAGACCGAACCTGGTTATTACATGTCAGAGCAACACTTTACGTGTTTAGGGCAGATTTTTAAACTATAGAGTCCACAACATTAAATCTTATCGAAGATCTGCTTCCTTACTTTCTTCATCGCTTTCCTTAAACCAGACCTCAGTGAGCACCATGACAGATGCTTCAGTGACACTGAACAGTAATGGGGACAGACCACCTGAGACTGACCAACAGCCTAGCAGTCAAACCAGAAAGGGGACAGCTGATGCAGACGAGACCCAGCCCTACTACAAGGTTGAACCCAGTCTTGAAGATTTACCTGCAAAAGAAAACCAAGAAGAAAACAGAAACACTAAAGGGCACATACTACCCAAAGGACCTGAAGACAAGAATGGTAAAGCATTTCTTTTACTCATTTTAATTGTTTTGACTTACAAACTTGTTTTTCTTTTAAATTTTTATATTAACTAATATTATATAAATAACCTAGACCAAAGACAAATAGTTCCTTTTCCCAATAGAGGTGTCCTATCACAATGACTCATAATTTAGATTCATCTAGTATCTCTGTAGTCCCAGTGTGTTCTCTTCTGAACCCGGAATGTTTTCACTAAAAGAAAACAGGATAAAAGCAACTGCCTTTATTAAGTTGTTACATAAGTTCTAAATGTTATTTAGTGTTAGAACCACAGGTTCTATGGTAAAAAGTCATTGCCATTTAGTGTTAGAACCACAGGTCGCTCTCTCTATAAGGTTATATATGATATAGATACCTTATGTATAATATAGATACCTTTTATATTGTATATCTGTGTCCCCCCCACAGATACACCTCCCCCCACATATAGAGATTATCATTGTGGAATTTAAGTATTAAATAAATGTAATCAATTTTTTTAAAAAAAAATGAGAAAACTAGAATGACAATTTTACTAATTGTAATTAAAATTAAAGAAATCTACCTAGAGTCAAAATTGATCATCTATCAACTTTTAACTGTCTATGTTGTAAGTACTACAATTCTTCTGTTCCTCCCTAGAAAACCTAGAAGAGAACCTCTTTGCTGTTCACAAGGCCATCAAAGATCTTTCTCTCCAAGAAACGAGTGCTAAAGACATGGCATTCAGAGAAGGTAACAGGAATCCTGGTTTCCTAACCTAATTGTTTGGCAGGATTTGGTAGCAGCATAGTGTGAGATGCTTTGTGTGTGCTGTAGAGAAGCAGTTATAAGCCATGACCTCAAAATCTTCAAGCTGCTAGGAGCAGATGCATGAGTCTTGTAGTCTGTGGATTCCACTTTACCGGGCTTTGCAGATGGCCAAAGCCCCAAACTGCATGGGTTGAACTGACTGACCCTCATGGCAAAATGACAGCCGTGTATGATAGGTTAGCTCACTATATCAAGCCTTTTTTTTTTCTTTTTCTTCTTGTAATTTGTTGCTCCAGATGGGTGGGTGTCAGGCATCTTCTGGGATGGTTCAGAAACAGGTTTAGTCTAAGGTTTCCTATTGACATTCAATCTAAAGTAACTTTATAAACCAGTTACTCTGTGAGAAAATTATGTCTGAAAGAAGTGTAGAATAGTTAACCAAGTTTCTGTAAAAAAAAAAAAAAAAAACAAAGACATGCCCCAGAGTGATAGAATTTATTTTGTGTTCTTAATACAGCTGTGAGAGGAAAGAAACATGGAATTGGCGATGTTAAATTTTAAATAAAGTGAGTAGATAAAGATACAAAATTCTCCAAGCCTTTCTTTTAAGAAGATATTTGTACTCACGTAGTTTTCGAGTTTAGTGCAGGATAGAATCTATTAATCAATCCCTCCTTCCCTCCCTAGAAGCTGTAAACAGCTCATCTTCAAATTGAAGTCAGCATGTGGAACCTAACCAATTTAGGCAAAACATAGGAGAATGCCCAAGGAGCATTAGAACACTGGAACACGGTATAAACAGCAGATGCCAAGGAGAACAGGGAGGTGACGGGGATTTCTGAGTTTCTTCCTTGTCCTAGACAATTCCCCGACTCTCTGCTGGCCAACATCTATGCAGTCATAGGAAAGTGGTGGCTCTTGTGGAGGTTTCACAGAGACCAGCCCACCAGAGGTAGTCTGTAAAAGCTAAGACCTTACAAAATGAATGGCCTAACTTCTTCGCCCCAGTCCGTCTGCTTTTCATGGGACAAGTCTCTCATGGCAAGGCTCACAGTTGTCCACCTACAGCTTTTTTTTTTAAAGTCAGTAATGAAATCCACTGCAAACAACAGTTCTGAGGACCTTGCCTTTCTTCTGCTACATGATGCTACCCGTGAGTTTGCCTCTGCTCAAGTCCTTTCCTTCGTAACACAGCTCACTTCTATTCTCTGACAGAGGTGTTGGCTTCGGTGCCTTTTACCTTCAAAATGGCAAACAGCTATACAGTCTCCTAAGACAATATGCCTGTTAAGAGTATAAAGACGATAAAAATACTGAGGAAAAAAACTAAGAAATTTAAATCGAAGGATGAATTTTATTCATGATAGGCTTAGGCCTGAGTTGTGAATATGAGCAAAAAGATTATTGTATGTTTTGTTTTATTTTACTGATGAGGGAAATCCCAACAAAACAAAGTCCAATATCAGCAAATAGCCAATGTACACTTGTTTCCAATATAAAAAAAAATCAAGTAGAGGACTGACAGCAGCTGTTTAGGACAAGTATCTGGTAATTCATGCTTACTTCTCTTTCATGGTACATGGAAACTTGGACTCAGAGAACAAATAAAAGCCTTTGATGAAAACAGACTTACAGGGAGAACTGTGGAGGGAGAATGAAGTTGGCAACTGCCTTTCAACTTGTTTTTATGCTCCTATGGAATTAAGAATGGTAAAGCCACATACTCTAGCTATGTTCACTATGGAAAGGCTGGGTTTTTCCACGTAAGCCTGTCATGTGTATTTTTTCAGAAAACCGTTTGCCCCCTTACCAGTCATTATTATACAACTAGAATACTAGTGAAGTGGGTTAATATGATCCAGTTGTTTAGAAACCAATGATTACAGAATTTTAATTCTTCTAAGACCTCCATCATGACACCAAACAACCTGTTACTCAACTATCATTTGGAGCAACAGGAGAACCTAGCATTATATGCAAACAAGCCCAACATAATTATTAGATATGGATCCCTAGAAGTCACCAGAACATCTGAGGCCATGTTGTGTATGACTCAGTTGCCAGCATATGAGTTCTGAACATCTAGGGACCTTTGATCTTCTGGTTTTATAACACTCTATTTTTATTATATTTATATGAGTGTTTTGTCTCATGTATGTAAGTGTCCTTAACTCCCACCTGGTACCTGGAGGCAGGAAGAAGGCATTGGATCTTCCAGAGCTAGAATTACACAGAATTGTAGGCTACCATGTGGGTGTTGAAACCAAAGCTGGGTCCACTGGAAGAGCAAGTTCCTGTAGCCACTAAGCCATCTCTCTAGGCAGCCTTTGCTCTTATTTTTTTCTTTAATTTTGGTGTTATTTTATGTGTATGAATATTTTGCCTACATACATGTTTTTGCATTATGTTCATGCCTAGTGCCTGTAGAGGCCAGAAGAGATATTGGATCCCTGGAACTGGAGTTAGGAATGGTTGTGAGCTGCCTTGTGGGTGCTGGAACTGGACCTTAGGTGCTCTGGAAGAGCAGCCAGCAACCACTGAGCCATCTTTCCAGCCTCAGCCTCTGCTTGTCTTTACCACTCAGAGACAGTGTCAAATGTCAAAGCTGTCACTCTGAGTTCAACTAGATGTGGGCAGTCATCATTTTCACATTGGAGTAAAGTGTTTTCCCTTGAGGTATTATTTTCAATGGATGTGAATTAAATCCAAACATTTTACTGAGTGTGTACCTATACACACATACAATATGTGTGTGTGTGTGTGTGTGTGTGTGTGTGTGTGTGTGGGTACATATGCATTATACACTTACACACACATCTAGTTTTGGCAAGAAAAAAATTAAATGTGCCTCAGAGAACAGTAATCCTATTACATCCACTAGTCGACAGCAATGCAATTCCAGTGAAATAAGGCTGGGTTGTTGACATTCCTGGAGACACACAGTATTCATTAGCATTCACAAAGTTTAAATTCTGAAATATTTATTTATCTATGTGAAATGCAGTGCTTTGCAAGCTGTTTTGACTGTGAAGCCCGTTTGGTTGTTTAGAATTTATCAGGCAACACACAGTCACAGTCCAGAAGGCACAAGTTGGAATCTCACTGTCCCAAGGAATGATTTAGAGTATTACAGAATAGCAGCTGGGTACTCTGAAAACCCAGTATGTCTTACATGTCTTACCCACTGGTCCATTTTGCTGCAGGGCACCCGTGGAAGAAAATTCATCTGAACAGCAGTAACCTGGACATGAGTAAACCAGAAGAAAAGATCGTCCACCAACCTCTAGAACAGATTGAAGATGAGGACACCGCCTGCCAGGCAACTGAAATCGAATGGTTGGGGTTCCAGAAATCTACTCAAATTGAACTGTTACCTCCTAAATGTGATGAGGAACGAGAAGTTTGGAATGAAGAAATTAACGAGGAAGATGTTGATGAGTGCATTGATGAGGAAGATGAAGTTCGAGTAATAGAATTTAAGAGAACACACAGGGAAGGCTCTCAAATAATGGAGGAAAGCCGTGCAAGGGAAGGCTCCCCACTAAGCAGCCCCAGCTCCCAACCAGGGACCCCAGATGAGCAGCCAGTGTTAGGGAAGAAGGGAGATATCTCCAGGAATTCTTATTCCAGATACAATACGATATCCTATCGGAAAATCAGGAAAGGGAACACCAAACAGAGAATCGATGAATTTGAGTCTATGATGCATTTATAAACTAACTGGGACTGAGATATGTCATGGGTGTTAAAGAAAAGCTAACTTTGCTGTACTGGGCCGTCTTCCTTTGCCTTATTTTGAGATGTGCAAGCTTAATGTCCTTTTCACCGTAGAGCAATGTGGAAATAACCATAGACAAAATTTATTCTGGTAACTTCAAACCAACGAGTTTTAGATTCATTTCTGGGTGTTTGCCTTTTAAAAAGTTAACTAATGTAGAATCACGTGTTAAGGGTTGCCCCAGAGGCAAGCCTGGCATGATTTGTCTATAAAAGCAGCAATAGTAAGAGAGGCAGGTAAGGAAAAGAGAACTGTTGATGTAACTCCCATAATTCTTTTGGTATCTCTCTTCAGGCCAATGGGAAGCCTGGAATTAAGCCCCTCCTTCAGTGAACATAGTTTTTTATAGATTCTGGCTTTTTTTTTTTTTTTTTTCTTTTTTAAATTATTATTAAGAAAAAAAAAAAAGGTCTCTTAAGTCATTCTCCTTGGCATCTACTGAGTGAAAATTCAACAGATCGCCTTTCTAGGTGTCACCATTCAGTGAATTTCCTCACTAAAAGGCCAAGCAGTTGACAGTGAGAATTCTGTATGCTAAGTTTTGGCTTTATGCTTTCAAAATGAATGAAATCCATTGTGAAGTTGATACAAGGAGGGGCTAGATGACTGGCGAGCAATAGACTAGAGAATTGTATTGGATGGTTTTGGTTTTGTTACTGAAAACAAATCTGTCTAGCACAATGAAAATCATTAAAGATAAAAATGGCAATTTTAGCACAATTTTAGAAAATGCCCTACTCCATTACCACACTCTCTTGTGTTAACAGTATCTCAGAACCGTTTTCTCCGCTTAGAAATGAGAGACAATGGCAGTCATAACTGTACTAGTTACTACGAAAGTGGAAAATAATTATCTTAGACTATTTTAGAAGTAGGGTGTGAGCATGTATTTTTAGCGAAAAAGCTGATAGTTGTGGGGAATATGTAATTTTTTGGACCAAAGCCCAAGTCAAGAAGCTGAAAATTGCACTTGTGGAGCTCCTCTCGAACCAACATGTCAAATAATGCGTTGAATATTTATGAAAAGAGGATATTTATATTCTTGGATAGTTTATTCCACAAATTTTCATTTTGTGCTTCTGTATATATTGCTCTGAACTTTTTGTTACCAAGATAAAAATATCTTTTGGCTCCAAATAAAAAGACAATTCCTTATTGTCTGAATGTAATACAGTCTTCATTGTGCTATTCAACCCATTGTTGTTGTTGTTTTTTTCCTCGTTCTCTGTAAAAGCCTGGGTTAGTCCTACTTAGAAGACTGCTTATTTATGTGCAACAAATCCCACACATTCTCATAGCAAGTTCTTTAATTCTTCCTGGTCATATAATATACTTCCACAGTATCACATACTATTTTTTGAGTGTTTAAAAGTTTGGAATTTGATTGAAGTGCTTCTTTTCTTCTTCTAACCAATCCTTTACAACCCGAGCCAGTAAAAGATCTGTTACTCCTCAAGTGTTGAGCCTGCTAATGTCATTTAGGACAAATGTGAGATCTCTGACTATAATAAGAATAATATCAAAATAGTTGATCATGACATAAAGAACATAATGTGTGCTCAACTCTTGCAGCACATGGGAAAGCTAAGCCAAATAATCAGCACACACACACACACACACACACAGAAATGCATACACACACACCACACACAAACACACCCACACAAACACACATCCACACTCACACCCACAGCCCCATACCCCCACACACCCCCACAAACACACCCATACCCACACAAACACACACACACACTCACACACACAGAACCCACACCCCCCCACAAACACCAACACTCACACACAAACATCCCTCCACCCACACAAACACACACCCACACACATATCCCACACACAAACATCCCCCCTCACACCCATGCACACCCACACACCCACCACATACACAAACACCCACACACACACATACACAGACCGCCCATCCCCACACACAAACACACACACACACAAACACCTCCACACCTACACCCACCCCACACACCTCACACACACACACACACACACCACACACACACACACACGGCATGTGCTGTAGGCACCTGAAGTCAATCCAGATAAGTTGTAAAGCATCAAAGAAACTGGTGACAACTTGTAACTACCTTCCAGCTCAGGAGAAATATTGAAAAACAAGTTTGAAAGTAATTTTGATTTTTTTTCCTCTAGAAATTTACAGTTATATATTTGATTCCTTTTCTATAATAACTTTAGTTGACCAGAAGCAAAAGAGGTGGTTATTTAGAAGTATTCGGTTAACTCAAATATTTCTTCTATGCATTTGGGCTCTCATTAATACACTAGTTCTGGAAATTAATAGTAAAATAATTCCCTTGATCTTGCCTTGTTGTTCTGTCTGTCTGTCTGGCTCCCTCTTTAATGACCACTTCCTACAGTTAGTCTATGCAAAACTAGGAAAATATTGTCAGTTTTTAAAGAACCCTATAAGCTTCCACAAATGTAATCTGATTTCAAGTTGTAGAAACTGTAATCATAGCAAGTACAATTGAAATACTTTCTGCAGAGGATCCTGAGGAGTAAAGGCCATTGACCTCAGGAAGTTCCAGCTGTCCCTTGTCATTTCTTTATTTTTTATTTTTTACATTGCAACAAGAAACCCGAAATTCTATCCCCTTCCAATTTAAAGTATGAAACAGAGGCACACACGATGCATGCCCACATACATGAGGCATACACTTTTGCAACTGATTTCTTCAAACAGTGAAGAAAAGCTTAAGATATTTACTTCCTTATGATACCAAAATTTTAATTTCAATGTATAATACAAAGGCTTTATCTGTGTACTTATAACCAACATATATGAACTGGAAAATATCTATCAATACACATAAATTCATTTTCACTCATTTGATGGGGATTGCCATTATTAGGAAATCCACATATTGGAAGTTAGTCTGCATGTTGAAAAATGGAAAATTTCATTTGTTTTTTTTTTTTATTTTTCCAATGGAGGATGCACATGAACTCAAAGGGCCCTGATGGAGACAGCAACTGTCAGTTAACACCTCGGGCTGAAAACAGAGACAAATCTGCCTCCCTGTGGAGCTGATTTACTTTCTTTCATACACAGGCGCTCCAACATCTAAAACTGCATCCAACAAGCCTCACAAAGGACTATAACACTTTATGTGGCTTATGCAAAATGTCCATGGAATGATTATTTATCAAAAAAATAAGCATTCTCTATAATAGCTTTGGTTAACATTCCTTCCTTCCTTCCCTCCTTCCTTCCTGACTGTTTCTTTTTTCTTTTCTTTTCTTTTCTTTTCTTTTCTTTTCTTTTCTTTTCTTTTCTTTTCTTTTCTTTTCTTTTCTTTTCTTTTCTTCTTTTTCTTTCTTTCTTTCCCTTCCTCCCTCCCTCCTGCCCTCCCTTCCTTCCTTCCTTCCTTCCTTCCTTCCTTCCTTCCTTCCTTCCTTCCTTCCTCCCTTCCTTTTTTTTGTAGTTGCTTGCAGCAATCATTGAATAACCCCTGCTGTACTTGTAACATCTTTACGACACAATCTGTAAGGTGAGTTGAAGTTAAAAGCTGTGGCTTGTGTTTTAAGTTGAAGTCTCTTTCAAAATTGTATTTCCCAGCTCTGTTAAAAATGAACCATTTGTCAGTTTTGCTTAAAGGCTGGAAGAGGGTTGGTATTATCATTCACAGAGAAGTGGCTCTTTACATTTCTGTTTGTCAGTTTGGTCTAGGAAATGGAAAAGTCGTCCTACATCACATGAAGACTGTACATAATTACAAGACCTGTGAGGGTGGCCAAGACCTACGAGGCTCTGTAGGTAGACAGAAATCCATCTGCACTTCAGCTGCTCAATTACAGAGGCCAACATTGACTTTCTGCCTATGAGACATTCACAAGAGACCAAGAAACTTTTACCCACCCTCATTTCCTTCTCCTTAAGCCAGTAAACTGCAACCCAGGGCCTTACCTGAGCTCACCTACATTAATTTAAAAAACATGATGGTGGCACGCCATAGTGGAAGTAATTTTGAGACCTTAGGATAGAATGGTTACTGAGTTCTATGCATTTTTGATGGAATGATCCCACCCTTCCTCAGTGTAAGGAAGAGACAAACACCTTCCTTATCATATGGGAGGAAAGCCAATATGACAACCACGCACAATATCTAGGCGGGTGTAAGCGCTTGCTGATAATTATTAACTCTTTTTCCTTTATTTCATATAGTTTTGTGGTTCTTATTCAAGTTTTTGGGGTCATTGTATGAGATCTGATTTCTTGGCTGTGTTCACCATAAAAGTAGAAGCATTTGAACAAGAAGCAAGTTGGTGCTACCTGGCTTGCCTCAACCTCATTATCTTGCCTGAGAGCTCCTTGAAAAATCATTGTAAGGCATTCATGAAATCACGGGAATGCTGACGTCTTATCTACTCTAAGGGCCTGTGACCCTCTCCAATCCTTAAGTCAACACTAGAAAGAAGGTTTTCTAATTTCTAGAAAAATCCTTCCAAAGTTGTGCGGGGGAAGCTAATGAGGCGTTGCGATCATGGCACAGGGAGGTTTTGCAGTCCTGTGAATGACAGATAATTGAATGTCAGCAAGCAGAACTGAGCAAATTTGATGCTCGTGATAAAACAGCACTGTAGCAACAACAGCTGTGTCATCCCACGGGAGAGGAGGGCGGAAGCTCTGCATAAAAGCTGAAAGGAGAGAGCTGCTATGCACACTGAAGGGTGAGGGAGTACTTCCAGTGTTCAGGAAGTTAGTACTTTGATAAATTAGTTCTGTCAAATGTTAGCAAGGCTACTCTGTGCTCTAGCTCATAAGTTGCATAGACATGTTTCTAAGAAAAGGCAATCACCTAAGCTAAGTCAAGGAAATGAGGAGCTTCATCCTTCTCTTGAATTCTCTTGGATCACAAAGCGTTCCATCAAAGGTTTGTCATTACATGTAAAAGATGGTGTAGTAGAATGTATATGCTTATTCTGGTGTTTTTGGTAAACAAATCTGGGGAACAATACTTCCTACAAAATGTTGGCAGCAGATTTGAGGATCAAAACACCGAATAAAATAGTCTCTGGGTTTATCTATCGTACACAGGATGATCACATCCTTCCTTGGTGTAAGGAAGAGACAGACATCATCATACGGAGGGAAGAAAGATATATACAATAAGATACTGTAAGCGCTCAATGATAATTGGTCTAGGTAAAGTTAGATACTACATAGACCAGACGACACAGAAGGTTCTCTTGGGAGAAAAAATCATTTTCTTCACATCCAAGTATGGGTTTATCCAAAGCACTACTCATCTTTTGCTAAAAAAAAAAAAAAAAAAAAAAAAAGACTTTTCTTTGAGAAAACTTTCCTTGGATAAAACACACACTTTGTAGACCAGTGGACAAGGCCATATTCAAGTATCAAAATGGCATGGGCCATTATGGCATGGGTCATAAACTCAATTAGTCCATTGGCAAAGATTTGTGATTTTTGGTTTTTGTTTTATTTATTTTTTTCTTCCAATATGGCTGTTCTGGTAAGAATTATCTCAGTTTGAAATTATTCTCTTATCTCAACTCTGACCATCAGTTACTAGAAGGAAACATCTTAAATTGCTGTGTATGCCATAAATGTGTAAAGCAAAAGATCTTTCCATTCCCATTAGTCACTGACAGTCATGTAATTAATTGGAAGATAAAATTAAGTGTCAAATAGAAAATCGTAACTAAAATACTCACTTTTACTTTAATACCATGTTAACAAAGGTTTAACTCCACCAGCAAGAATAAGTAAGGCTACCCTGCAGGGTACAGCTTCAGTAAGGAAGTTGGTTTATCTCCTTTGAAGGACCACTGTGGGCAAACTCAGGACACTTTCAAATGGCATGAAGAGGCACACCTGGAGAACTGGATTCTCACCCTGTTCCCTGCAAGTGGCCTGTGAGTGTTTTTCAGTAGGCAATATGACTCCCAACATCAATTTTCTTCCCCAAAGGATTATAGCAGACCTTGGTGTCTAAGCTTTCTTCTGCAATACCTAGGGATCGGTGTACTTAGCTTGAGAGCTCAGTTTGGCTCAGTCTGGCTAAGGAAACATGCAGTAATCTATGGCTGGCCTGTGTTAACCTCAAGTCTTCATGAGGGTTTTGCTCCTTCCTTCTGCATCAGAAGCACTGCATCATCTTTCTTACTCTGCCAGGTCTGAAACAAGTCTTCACTCATCCCTCTCTTCAGGGTTGCCTGTCCCATTTCCCTTCTTTTAAATCTGTGTCTGCTTGCTTTAGAATCCATTTTTAGCATACTTCATCCACGTGAATATTGCTAAATCTAAAGTAGTATTTTTATTGTTTTCATATTTCAAGTTTTTTTTTAATTTTATTTTTATGTTTACTTTTTTTTTAGGTTTATTTATTATGTATAGAGTGTTCTGCCTGCATGTGTGTCTGCATACCAGAAGAGGGCACCAGATCTCATTGTAGATGGTTGTGAGCCACCATGTGGTTGCTGGGAATTGAACTCAGGACCTTTGGAAGAGCAGCCAGTGCTCTTAACCTCTGAGCCATCTCTTCAGCCCTCATATTTCAAGTTTTATCCTAATCTTCAGTTTCATTTCTGCTTTGACTATATCAACTCCTCTCAGTTAACTCTGTTGGAATGTTCAGTGGTTATGTGCAGTTTTTGCAAACACAGTGTGTTGTGACCCACCCTTTTGCCTTTCTTTACCTTAAAAAACACAAAAATTGAAGAAATAACTGATACGATCAGGTTTTTAAAAAAATGTAATATTAAAATGCACAAAGTGAACTAAAACAATACACAGAATTAAGTACATTAAAGCGTCTCCCCTTTTCCTTATTTTTTCCCCTACAGCCTCAGATTGGGAAGAAACTCCCCAGTCATCCAGATCAATGCCCCTACTAGGAAGGTTCTTAAAGAGTTGACCAGACTACTGCTCACTGACAGGTACACATAGAGATACTTCAACCGGGCAGTGTCTCTGTGCAGCTAGCTGAGTCTTCCTGGTGTGTGAATCGACACAGATGAATTTGATGAAACCAGAATCTAGTTGGGTTTACCCCTGTTCCTGGGCCATGACAGCATTCATGGTCATGGCATCATTGTCTGTCTTTGTTCTGGTTACCTGTGAGAGTCTGAGGACAAGACTTGCAGTAGGCCGTACAGCACAGGGCAGGACATCTTCAAAGGCCACTAAGAGCTGAAAGAAGTCCAGTCCAATGGCAGCCTGGTTCCCTGAGTTATTGTTTGGTGTTTCAAATGTAGTCATTTTCAAAAATCTTCCATTCAAATGGTACTAAAATGGAAAATTTTAAACTACCATGAAGAGAAATACAGTCACCAAGTTTGGTGTTGTTTTCACAGAATCTAGTGGATTAAACAGATGGAATATTCCCGGCTAGCCTTCATAGTATTTTTCAAATTTCCACTTTTGTAATGGTTCCATCAGGTTACAAGCAGCCAGTTTCAGGGTCTTCTGAAGAAAATTCCCTTCCACGCATAACAACTGCTGATAGTTCTCGAAAACAATATGATCCACCTGAAGAGAAAGCAGACATGGGGATGAGCTAAAGACTGATCTTGACAACAGCTATAAAGCTATAAGTAAATCATGCTTTCATTCCAGCAGCAGCTCTTCTGAATTAAATGAGTAACATGAACACAAGCTTCAGCAAACATCATGTTTGTCTCCACCCCAAATGAAGTGATCTGATGCCTCTGAGATGTAATATTTTTATTCTTCAGGAAGCAAATGGTATGTTTTTTTTCTAGTTATATGGCTGATAACTATATTATTTAAAGGAAAAATATAGTTGTCACTTAATATTGTCACTTAATGTATTGGGTGGCTACTTCACTGATGGTGGCAGAGCAAATACCATTTAGTATGACAGAAAGCATGTCTGTTAATTTATTGACCCCGATCTTGTCTTAGAAGGTCCAGATGTATTAGCAAGTATTAGAAATGACACATTTTATTTGAGAGCCCCTTACCTAACTTCTGATAATATATTAAGCCAAACATCCAGAGACTATCTTTTTCGGAAAAAACAAGGGCGTTCTAGATGACCTTAGTATTGCCCAATGTTTATTAAAGGCAAAAGACAATCTATTTAGAACCAACTAAGGCTTTATAATTTTTAACCTATAAATCTCAATTTCCTGAAATTGACCATGACCATTTTAGTCATTAATAAGTTATTTTAATATAATTATTTTTTTACCCCCACAGGGAAGGCTTTCATGCTAAATCATTTTCAAGATGTTTCCATAAAATATTATAAATCTTACAAAATCTTAGAAATATGATGTTTGCATATATTTAAAGTTGTGCTTAGTAGGTGGCCTTGAAGAAAACCATTCAGCATTTTCTACACAGTTTCCTGTTGTGAATGACAGAAGTAACTAAATCACTTCTTCCCCATGTAAAGACACATAAGAGGCAGTGAGAGAGAGTCCTTCCAAGCTCCAAATCTGACACTTCTAGTGAGAGGCAAAGTCCAGAGCATCAGCGATGAGCACTTTAAACTTAGAAGTAGGTAATAAGTCATTGTTATCTACATTCAAACTCTTAACAAGAAAGAGGTTCCTCTTATTCATGGTCTCTCTCTATTTCTCTCTTGCACTTTAAGACTTACACATCTTGATGACTGCTATAAGTTATGTCTTCTCTGCCCCCCGAATGCTATGTCAAGGCTGATGTAGTAAAGACCTGGTCCCCAGACTAGAACTACTGGAAGATGGTGACATCCCTGAGAGATGAGGCTTAGGGGAAGACCCACAGGCCACTATGCAGTGTCGGTGGTAAGGACTGTGTGACCTTTTTTCTACTCCCCCTCACACCCTGGCCATGAATTGAGAATACTCTAAGCCAGTGTGCTCTCTCTGTAATGTGTTGCCTTACCACAGGCCCAAAAGAAGCAAACCAATTTAGGGTGAACTCAGACCTCAGAAACAGAGCTGACTTAACCTTTTCCCCTTTCATTGTCTAAGGTATTTTTCTAACACGATAGAAAGGGGCTTAAGGGAATTTGCATGAGAACTGCCCAAAGGGAAAAAAAAAAAAAAAACAAGAGAGACACAGATGGAGAAAAAGAAAGTTATAGGCCAGCCATCTCTGACCGTCTAGACATATCGCAAGGGGACTGAAAGGCAAAAGGCAGCACTGTAGCAGGCCACAAACAGATTCCTAGTTTCTGTTATCTCAGTTACTTACCTTTTCCGAGTCAGCTTACAGTATAAGACCAACTCTTTTTTTTTAATTCTTTATTAATTACACTTTATCCACTTTGTATCCCCCCCTGTGGTTCCCTCCCTCCTCCCGTCCCAATCCCTCCTTTCCTCCACCCTCTGCATGCATGCCCCTCCCCAAGTCCACTGATAGGGGAGGTCTTCTTTTCCTTCCTTCTGATCCTAGTCAATTAGGTCTCATCAGGAGTGGCTGCATTGTCTTCTTCTGTGGCCTGGTAATGCTGCTTCCCTCTCAGGGGAAGGTGATCAAACAGCAGGCCAATCAGTTCATGTCAGAGACAGTCCCTGTTCCTATTACAATGGAACCCACTTGGATACTGAACTGCCATGGGCTACATCTGTGCAGGGGTCTTAGGTTATCTCCATGCATAGTCCTTGGTTGGAATAGCAGTCTCAGGAAAGACCCCTGTGCTCAGATTTTTTGGTTCTGTTGCTCTCCTTGTGGAGTTCCTGTCCTCTCCAGATCTTACTGTTTCCCACTTCTTTCCTAAGATTCCCTGGACTCTGCCCAAAGGTTGCCTGTAAGTCTCAGCATCTGCATTGATAGTCTGCAGGGCAGAGTCTTTCAGAGGTCCTCTGTGTCAAGCTCCTGACTTGTTCCCTCTTTTCACCTTCTTCTGATGTCCATCCTCTTTGCCTTCCTATCCAGAAAGGCAAAAGGGAAGGACATCAATCCCTATCCAGAAAGACCTACTCTTAAATACTTCCTCACAGTAAATCCTTTCCAGGAGTCACTTCTGCAGATAAAAGATGTTTTGATTTTCATTTTCTCCCTTTCCTTCTGGCCTCTTTCTTTCCTACCTTCAGTGCAGTGTTAAGGAAGTAGAAGGTGTGACGTAACTTAGTTGGTAGATATTTATGAAAAAACTTTCCCAAAGTATGAAAAATAAAAATAGATGTTTATACACTAATAATTATCTATTTGGCAGTATCAGCTAACAGTAATTATTCTCAGCAAGGAGAAAATGTCTAAAAAAAAAAATTACTGGAGAATGAATAGATTGTCCCTGAATTTTCTCTCTGAGTAGAAAAAAAAATGTCTGAATAAGACATCAAAAGAAGGAGAACCCTATCAATGGGGACACCCCCCAAATAAAGTGAATTTCCTCTGGGGCCAGCTCTGGGAAGAATCATGGCTTCTATTTTACCCAGTGTCTTAGTTTCTTTTCTGTTGCTGTGATAAAATGCCATAAACAAACAAACAAACAAACAAACAAACAAATAAATAAATACATAAAACAAAGTGAAGGACAACAGTTTACTTTAACTCACAGTTCAAGGTTCCATACCACCATTTTGGGGGAATTCACCGTGACAGGAGTTTGTGGGGGCTAATCACATATCAAGAACAGTAAAGAAGCAGAGATTTAGGGGATGAGTGTTACGTAGTTCTGAGCTCACTTTCTCTACTTCACACATCTGAGGACCGCCTACTGAGGAACAGTCCCACTTAAAATTAAGATGGGTCTTTCTACACCAATGAACTTAATCAAGACAGTCTCCCCTAGGCATGTTTAGGAGAGTACACCATCAGTGCCTGCAAGACATTTGGTGGCTGCATGCTAGTGAGATGGCAGAAACAAGAGAAGACAATCCTGAGATCATTCCTAGCATCTCAAGAGTCTAAGACAAAGTTTATGACTTTGAGTCCTATTTAAATGGGACTGGGAGAAACTTAACGAACTTTGAGAGTAAACTCAGCAATACTGGCATATTTTGTTAAGATAACAAGAGTCTTCTCAAGACTGGTTTTCAACAGGTGATGCATTCTCACCAAATGTAAAGTTGACAAGAGACACAGACAGATACCCTTCCATCATCAGTTTCTGCAGTGTTCAGGGAGTGTTATCTGTGGAGACACAGGGGTGAGGAAAAGACCCCTTCCTAGAAAGAGGGCAGAGGAGAAAACTGGAATCATTCTAAACAGCAGCATTGGTAGAAAGCTTGAAGCTTTTTTATTTTTCCATGTATTCTTTCTCTAGGCTTTTCTAGTCATCAATGAGAATAAGTTTCGATAATGCACATAGCATTGTTGATTGAGTTAAATGAATTTTAGAATCTAGGATGATGGTACCAATAGAGTGGGAAGAAATGGGTGCCTTCAATTTAAACCACTCATTTGAAATCAATTTTGAAAAATCAAAAAGCAAAAAAATAAATTAATAAATTAAATTAAAATTTCCAAAAACGTTCTTTATGTCTCTGAGTGACCCTTCACTCTGCCTTCATTGTTACAGACAACATTCAAGGCTTCCAACCGAGGAGACTGATGATGAGAGTTTTATGTCCCCTTTGACTGGAAGTTGACTTTGTGGTAAAGGATGGCACAGAAGTTTTGCTTACCAGTTCTGGATGAAAGGCGGATGCTGACTTGTGCAGCCATTTGAGCCTGTTGTTTCTGTTATCACAAGGCTGCAGTCTCAGGGATCCTTTATCAGGGATGGACGCCATGCACCACTCTCCATGCTTAATTAGTCGGACCCAGGTATAATTAAATTGTTGATGCTGTAGGGAATGGGTACAGGAAAGGCCATTCAGACAGCAAGCAGAGGCAGCGGACGTTGCCAAAGACTCTAATCAGCAGTCGGTGAAACCATGTGCACTCTGATCTGATGAGGTATCTGTGTTATTTGACGTGTGCACCATCATATTTCTTAAGTCAGACAGAAAGACTATCTATCACTGTGGCGGCAGTAATGATTTTCATGTGCCTAGCATACAGCACGCTCTCAATAAACATTACCAGAAGCAGCATATATTGTTAGTACACTAACTGTATCTTTGAATATGGATGCTGTTTCCAGTGTTGTGAGGTCCAGACAATCTGAGTGTTATGTATTGAAGTATCTAAATCACCACAGTGTTAGGTTTTCCATCCATCAGGGGTCTCAGGTGAACTGAAGCCACAGTCTTAGATTTCTTCAGTGGACATTCTCACACTTTCTTCTTTCAGACTCTCATTTGGACTCAGGCTTTTTTTTTTCTATTTCATGGAAAGTTATTGAACATGTCTTGGCTACTATGTAACATCTCACAGATCATAGAATCAGTTCCTAGAAAAGTCCAGATTGGAAGAGTGGACAGTATCTAAAATAATTACCAATTCAGGTATTAGAATCATGTCTGCAATCCTTAAAAATAAATTTATAGTTATTTGAAAATAATTTAAGGTTATTTAGTCAATTTATTCTAAAGCTCTGGTCTTTGTGAAATTTTCCATGGGACTGAGGTGCAGTATGGGATAGAAAAACTATTGAAATGCCTTTACCCTATGAATCATTTATAATGTAACTGGAATGCCATTTACCTGAAATATTAAACATTGAACCATGGACTTTCCACATGGTAGGTAAGTGCTCTATTACTGAGCTACATGTCCTACTGTTTTTGTACAGTTTATTTTGAGACAAGGTTTACCAAGTAGCCCAGGATAGCTTTGCATTTATTCTGTAGTTTAAGGAAGCCCTAAAATTATGATTTTCTTGTCTCATTCTTGAAAATGTTGTTTTTATTTTTTTCATGTGGATGTGATGAGAACCTTACCCAAGCTTTACTAATATATGGCTTGGGCTGGGCCTAGAGTGTTTTTATCTAACTATCTATGTCCATAGGCCTGAAAGCATATGGCCTACATACAATCTAATCTTCTGTAAAACTGGACATTGAAGGCTTCAGTTTCCAGCCTTCATCTGCTAACCTAGGCCTAGAATGTCTTCAGCCTCCAAGACTTAGTGCTAAATGAGCTGACCCTTCCTACTTCTTTCTGAGCTCTGGCTGGCTGGTTCAACTCTGCTGTTGTGGCTCAAAACTCCTCTCCAAGATGACTGATTCAAACCTGCTTCTCACTGAATTTCTCTGCTTTGAAAAACTGCCTGAACTCCATGAACTGAACTGTATGAACTCAACTGTGCTCAACTGAACTGCACCAAACTGTGCTGCACTCCCAAAATCTACTGTACTGTCTCGAGGAACTCCCTGCTTTCTCTCTGAACTGTTGTTACGTAGCTTCTCTTTCTTGCCTGGTCCCATGAGAGTTGAACATATCTATCTTTGACTCATTGGGTTAAATCTTTCTCTGATTCATTACTTTGTCTGTCTCTCAATTAGGCATCATTGTTTGGGATTAAAGATGTGTATTAAAAATGTGTCTGTATTCCATCCAGAGGGATTAAAACTGTATATTAAGGATGTTTCTGTATTACCTCCAGAGGGTTTAAAGGTGTATATTAAGGGTGTGTATGTATTCTAGCCTGATCACACAGACCTAGCTGCTTGGATGTGATCCCTTGCCAAAGTAGCCATGTTGCTGGATTAAAATTCCTCTACACAGCTTCCTTCAAAGCTAGAATTATAAGTCTGTATCACTATGACAAGCTTTGGGTTAACATTTAATTTTGACTACAAGGCTATATTAAAGAAATGGTGGCAAATCTTACCACCCAAAGTGTAGTCCCTGAAACAGCATCTTGTCACACAGCCACTAGTTAGGAATGGTGGATATGAGTTCTATCATGGACCCTGTGAGTCATTCTCCCCTAACAAATGCCAAAGGTGATTTGTGTGAGTATCAATGTCTGAGAACCGAGGACAAAGCCCAGATTATGAGGTTATGTAGTTACTAAGATAAGCTGGACATCACCTTAGAAAGGGTTTAATAGCAAGAAAGAAAAAAAGACTTCTAGTTAAAGTAAGGGAGTACTGAGTACTTCATTTCTTCTGCGTTGTTTTACATGAATACCAATCTGGTATTAAACCATATCGATTCTGACCAAATCAAATTAACATCCTCTATATTCCTGTCCTTTTTATTATTCAAATAAACCACCAATAAGTGATGGTCAAAAGGAGCAACAAGATCAAAGTGTGATGGAGCTTTCTGGAAGGTAGTGGCTCTAATATTCACTCTTAGGTCCCACATTTCAAATTCATTGGTATTTAAGAACAGAAATTAGGTTCTCAGTGAAATACTGACTTTACAGGTACACTAAGTTCCTACAGCAATAGTTTTAAGGGAGTAAATTACTGAATATTTTAATATATTTTAGACTAATTCTGCAGTTGGTTTTTCTATAATTCATGGCTATCCCCACTGTGAATTGTTAGTAAGCAAAAGTCATTTCTTTCAGTTGATTCTTTAAACTTATCACTTTCTCTCTTTCCTAATTATGAAAATGTTTCCTCGGCTGCAGGTTTACAATCCACAGAAGAATTGTCCTGACAGACATGTCTTCTCTTTTAGCGGCAGCTTGGGAATTAGACAGAGAGATGGGATGTGCTTGAAAGTACAAGCCAGGATGCTTAAATCAGGACAAAGAAGTCATTCAGCAAGCACAATGATGCATCTACCAAAGCGTGATCTGCAGTCTGGGGGAGGGCGCCAACGTGTACACACAAACCAATGTTCCCTGGAGTCCTATTTTGCATCCAAAGCAGATACCATTCCCATCTGGGGTGCGAGGTGTAATCTCTAGAGGCTCACCTCCGGCACAGCAGGAGTAGTCCTTTTCTGTTTCCCCTGTCCCCACTCCTCTTATTCACCATGTTCTGATGGCCAGAGGGGTAACGTGGAATTGGTTCTCTCAGTACATTGTCATGTGGGTTCCAGGGATTGAACTCACATTCTCAGGCTTCTGTGGCAAGGACCTTTACCCACTGAGCCATCCCACCAGCTGTATTTTAGGCATTTTCATCTTCATCACTACATCCAGCATCAACAGAAGACCAAGCATTAGGCAGAGCTTATCAGACCCCTGTGTGTGGCCGATTTGTTTCGGATTTAGAGCTAGGCACTATCTTCTCTGGCACTTACACAAAGGTTCAAGACTTTGTGTAAGCTGAGCTTGTTTTGCAAGGGAAAATACCAAGACTAAATCCATCATGGAGCAATGACTCCCATACCAACAAACCTACTTTTGGCACTTCCATATTCCAGCCTATCGATTCCATTGATATTTAGACATCTATGGATTTCTCCCAGACAGAAGTCAATTGTCACATGAGCAATTGACATGGGGATGCAACAAGCATGACAGTCGCTAGTCCTGGCCACTGAGGAGAGACTGAGAACGCATGCTGAGCTTACCTGGCTACTCCCATCACAGTCCTGCAGGGTGGCTGTGGTATTTTCCATGGAAACACACTTGCCCAGGGCCATATTAATAAGCTAGGAAGCAGACCACAAAAATGTTCATTAGAGACTGACATGTCTTCATGTATGACAGAGCATTCAGACACATTTAGAAAATACAGAGTTAGAAGATCATCAGGTTAAAAGACAGTCAATAGATTGGCAAAAGTCTGCACTGTACGATTTTCTTGGTCACGGCTCTAACTGAGTCAAGATGTAACCCTGTCACAGCACAGCTTCAATCTGTCAGTTCTTGCCTGTAATTCAGTCATAGTGGCAACAAACATTAGTTTCACATTAACTGTCATTTGGAATGCTGCATGAAAATGAGCAAAAGTTGATATAGAAAGTAGGGATTTTTTTTTGTGTGTGTGTGTGGGGGGGGGGGAGCGGTGTTGAATTTGTCCCAATGCGTAATCTAAAAGTCAGTGTCCAGACCTTCAATTTCATCAAGCCAAAAACTACAGGGTGTGTTCCTTGGATGACCCCTCTGAGTTACCTGATCTCTTAGACACTGAATCATAGATAAATTGAGCTCTTCGGAGAACAGCACATTCCAGCTAATTCCCTGTCAGACTCTTTCTAATGACTCAGCCAAGCTACGACTCATTACAGGAAAGTCACGAAAGCTAAAACAGAGCCAAGCATAAAGTCCCTTTCTGTCAAACTCGGGTTTTTTAATGGATTTACAGGGTCAAATACGGAGGAAGCTTTCTACAAGATGGACTGACAAGATGGGAGGTTAATAAAGCACTTTAGGCTTTCATTTTTCCAGGGATGCTGTGTAGAGGAGAAATTGCATGTGTTCCACCGAAACCTGCTCAGCTTGGAAGATAGTGACCATGCTTATGTTCTTTCAGCTTTTATGGGACCCAAAACAGAGCTCCAGTTCTTGGGCACTTCAATAATGGAGGCCATGCTGGATCACCAGATTTTATAGCAGGGTGTCTAATGGGTTGGTCTGTACTTGTGGATGTCGTAGCTCAGCTTGCAGATGAACAGGGGGTAGTTTGTGGGGTCAGGAAATGATGAAAAAAATAGCAAGAGGGAGCTCTGCAATCTTGGTAAGTAGGAACAATGTCCCCACAGGACCATGTAGGAATGAGTGTGGCCATGTGGGGTGTGTGAGATGTGGCCGTGAACAAGTCAGAGAGTTGAAGCTGAGCTGTTCCACAGAGAGACAAAACCTAAACTAACCTTCTGCCTGGGGAAAAAAAAAAGTTTATTCACCAGTACAGGGAGAAAACATGGAAGCTAGATTCTCCCTGGGAATCTGAAGCCTCACACTGACTGTCATTTGGGTTTGCAATAAGATGTGCCCTACCTGCTTGGGCTAGGAACCCTCACTGACCTTCACAGCATATAAGCAAACATCAGGAGTTTTACTTGTTGGTAATTCGTAAGGTGTCTAACACAAAGGAAAACACAAAGTAATTCCAAAGGGACAGAGCTCCATTACAAACAAAACAAAACAAAAACTTTAACCTGTTCCATTCACAGCTTAAAATGGCAACTATGGGCATATCCTCATCAGTAGGTCTGAGCAAGGGCAGCCAGAAAAGATGCAATGGCACTCTGAGTTTAGGCAGCATGAGCAGACACGTGTGACATGGAACAATTCTGCAGTTCAAAGAAGAAAATCAAAACCCTCATTGTTCTTTGGATCCTAACAGATAAATATGTCCTGTGTCCTAGTGGCTCATACAGAAATTATCCTAACATAAAATAAGTTTGGAAATCTCTGGCTCCAGCATAGCTAAGCAAGTTGCCCTATCCTGGAACTTAACAGAACCTTCCAGAACACAGCCTGCAACCCAGGAAACATACAGCGTTTCTTTTCCCAGATCTACTTGACTCCTGGCTTCACAACTAACATTACCCAGAATCTTGTTTGGAAAAGCTTAGTTTATCTGGTTTGGTTTTGTTTAGTTTTTGTTTCTAACAGCTACTTCCTACAGGCCTTAAAGGGCACTGGAGACTGAAGGTCTCCTTCTGGGTCCTTCATGGAAACCATTTCAACTTAGAAGAAGAAGAAGAAGAAGAAGAAGAAGAAGAAGAAGAAGAAGAAGA